TATTTTGAACCACCCCATTCAGCAAACAGTGGTAAAGTCCACAGTAACATTTGCCATGCCTGTCAAATCCTTCGACAGACCCTGAAAATTCAAATGTGGATCTGCCAAGCTGGCAACCTTGAGAATCACTTGTCAACAATCATACTAGAATTCAGAGTCATGCGGCGTAAGTAATTGAACAAACTGTCCTGTGCTGCGTGACTAGTGCTAACAGCCCCTTCTAAATCTTAAAATGCCTTTTTGCAGGCCACCAGTGTACTGCGGTGAAGGTACCTTAAGCGGCGTTCTGCGAGAGTTGGTACAGGGCCAAAAAAATTTCGAACCGCTGCACTCCCCCCCCCCCCCCTTTTTTACAATGAAGTCAGGTTGAGGGCACAACTTCTTGGCTAACTTGCAAGGCACGTTTGACTAGATAATGGAACAAAGGCACGCGCCCACTGGTTTGGCGACAACACCGGTTATCTATCACACGTGCCGATGCAATGGACACGTGGCTGCCGGCGAGGACTGTGTTCACGCCCAGTATCAGCGGCCTACGCTACCAACATTAGTTGCTAACATGCCATAGCCGTGTTTGCTGACTGGGTAATTCATATTTCCCGAGAAGTGCTCCTGGCAATGGCAAAGCATTTTTGTCTTCAGGTTGCGTCGTCCCGCCAATAAATATCAGCTTCGGTCAGTGGACCGATGGGTGCGTGGTGTTGCTACTTGAACGGTCGATCGAATTTCACGAGTTTGCTAGCCTAGTGAGTTTACGGTCTGCGCGCCTGGATTAATTGATGGCGCGAAGTGAGCCGTGTCCCGTAACTGATGCTAGGAGCCCCCTTCTAAATCGTACTGCGCTTTTTCGCACGGCACTAGTGTAGTGCAGCGAAGATGGCTTAAAGGCAACTCCAACAATTGTTTTCGGTCAATGGGTCTCAACGAAATTTGCAGGATACGTTCCTTTGCACATTTCCGTCACTTATGCCAAATTACAGAGTTGAGAGATGCGCTGATTGCTTAGAAATAAATTTTAAAGATTGCCTCAAAAAAAGCTCACCTCGCTTACCAGAATAATTGGCAACACTTTCTGTGTGACGTCATGACATCACAGTGACGCAGCCGATGGTATCGCTACTTTGGCTGCTACAGAGTTTATTGTGCTGACCACAAGGCGACTGCAGTGGTGTTTGGCACGAGTATAGCACAGGAAAGCTTTCCTCCTTCCTCTGTGCTGTTTGACCATTGCTTCGCTGGCCTGGCTTTGACAGTTTTTATACTGCGCGCCGGCGGGACCAGTATACGGCCTCCGGTTCTTGCCAAATAGTACATCATACACAGACAAGGTGCCCGGCTGAGTTTCCGCTACGGTATTGCACCTTTTTGCTTGTTAAAAATTATTTTCAAATTTCCTGAGCATTTCAGCTATTGTGCTCGTTCGTGACAAGAGTGTCTCAGGAACTTAGAAACACCATTACCTTGACATGATCTGAGAATTGCCGGAGTTGGCCTTTAACAGCATTTTGCACAGGTTAGAGCAAGGCCAAGAAATTTCCCAACACCGCTACACCCCCTCCCCCCTCCTCTTTTATTGCAATAGCAATTATATGGACACTCTCGGCTGTATTTTGCCGCGGATGTCATCGTCAATCACTGTATATGTATGCATATATATATATATATATTTATAAAAAGGCAATAAGGAAAAAATCCAGAAAAAGACTTCATCACGCGGAATTGAACTTGGAACCTCTGCGTTGTGAGTGCGAGGAGTTAACCACTGAACCACCAAGGAGCACGTCCTTCAAGGTGCAAACAGCAAGCCATTTATATCTACCACTTACCGCTGGTGATGGGCATCTCGGGGGAGAACTATCACGTTTTCAGCATCACCAGTAAGGTGGCGCGATGACTGTGCAACGGCGCACACCCTCATCTCCCACGCGTACTTTGCCTTGCGGAGAGGAGTGGGTGGTCGAAAAGCCCCTGAACGCACACTCCCGCACCCTTATCTCGTGGTTGGGAGAATTTTACATCTAAGCTGTTCTTAAGCTTTCACTGTAACGATTCTGTAACTACCGGGTGCACAAATGTCACTGCAACCATTGCACAGCCTCCATTTGCGAAAACAGAGCGCTTTTCAGACAGGAAGAAGTAACAACTGAGATGCCTATTTGCGTTCATCTGTACATGTGAGTGCGTTTAGTGCGTTATTTATGCGCGAGAAACGCGGGGCATGTTTCTATCTGCTTGCCATTCTGCACGTGACCTTCCGATTTGTCGCTATCGCAGTTCACTGCTCCGCCTTTGCAGCAAGCTGTGACTATTTTTCCACGATGGGATTAGGTTTAGGCCGCAACTTCCCAGCTCACATGCAAGACTTGTTCTACCAGATAAGGTAACGGCATGCGCCCCTTCATCCAGCGACAGCACCGCTATTTATCATCATGACGATGACAGAAAAAATGTTTTATGTGCCTTTTCTATGGTTACCAACGTGGTCGCCAGCAACGCCGTCATTCGCAGCACGTCGTCTCTGTTCGCGTGCGAAAAACTCTGTATGCGCTTCCTGCTCTAGGTGCTACCGTATTTACTCGCATAATCCTCGCACTTTTTTTGGTGGAAAACCGATGCAAAGTTGGGGGATGCGAGAATTACACGGGGAAAGCTTTCCTTGAAAACGTACTGCAAAAAAGAAAACGAAGTGTCCGCAAATCGGGATTCTCACACCAGCAAGTAACAGCAAGCTTTGAGAAGTACTAATTAAAACTTACCTCAGCATTAAAAGCACTGGTTCAACACAAGGCAAGATCTATTCGAGACACTAAAAGTGCAAGCAAATAGTCGAGAATTAGAATACCTTACACAAAGCTTGTGGGTGTTGCGGCCGTAGCGGTAGCATTTGTCGTGCAACAGGAGCCCTCAAAAGGTAAGCGTAGGACGTTAGTATTGGGCTGATGGCTATTTAATAGAATCGTCCGCAGTTTCCTTCTGAAGGAATAAAGTTTACGATCAATCCCAGTTTTAGGCACACGGCAGGCCCAACGCGTCTTGGTGGCTTTCAGCTGCTGTCACCAGTAGCGAAACACAAAACTCGTAGACTCCGAAGGACCTACCGGCGGCCTTGTTGTCATTGTTTAGTGCATGATCTATCACTTTCAACTTGAAAGCAGCCGTGTAGCTTCGGTATCGCCCCATAACGTGTCAAGATTAAAAATACAACATACAACACCCGTCGCAATGAGCACATGCCACTTTGCCTTGGCTAGGATTGGACTGAATCTCCGTGCAGCAATAGTACGCTTGATGCTTAAGAGATGGCACTAGATGACGCGCGCTATTATCATCAGTGGCTGGAACGAGCATACGACATTAATGCGGCAGTTTTTGGGGATGCGATAATTACACGAGGAAAAAAAGAAGTCATATTTTTGTTGGGCGATGTGGGGGTGCGAGAATTGTGCGAGTGCGAGGATTAAGCGAGTAAATACGGTATACATGCATTAGCCTGATTCGCTGACTAGAAAGCTCTTATTTCCCGTAAGCGATGGTGGCTACAGCAATGCATTTTTGTCACAAAGCTGCATCGTCCCACTGATAAGTATCCGCTGTAGTCAGCAGACCGATGGGCATGCAGCTTTGTTACTTTAGCTGGTCGATCGCGTCTAGCGAGTGACCTGACCTGATGAGAATATATCTGACATTGTGGTTTAGGGTTCGGATCCGCGCTTGGATTCATTGATGACGCAGAACTGCAGATGACCAACATGGCCTCTATGACTGGCTTAAATTAGTGCAACTGAAAATTTTGCGGCTGGTTGGGCATTTTGGTGCAGAGTGGCGCAATATCAGCAAATTTCATGATTTTGGCGCAGAAATGGGAATTTGTATCAAATTGGCGCAATTGGCACAGCTGTTGCACCCTTGCTGGTAGATACTAACATAGCACACTCCCTGGACAACACTCCAGTCGTAGGCAAGTGCGTACTGCTGCCCTTCGGGCACGTCACTCCGATTGCCCTGGCATAATCTATGTAGACGTCTCGGGCCCTTCCACATTGGGTCATTACACAATTGCTGTGATCACAGAGGGCCGCCACGTCGATGACCTCTTCTTTAGAGCCGACAGTGCAACTGATGCAGAGGAGGTTGCCGTCGCTTTGGCCGGCACATATCTCAACAGACTCGCGCTCAGTCTGTTCTCGATACATCCAGGGTTCTATGAACCCATTGGCTGCTCATCTCCTTCAAGCCGCGTCCTTGCACTTTATGCCTCACTCCGTAAGAGTAGTATGGAGTACAGGCCACGCAGGTCTTCCTGGCAATGAAGCGGCAAATGCCGCTGCCCGCGCTTCTCCCCTCCAGCCCGCTGTCCTTCCATGTCCTGAGTTGGATCCTGGGAACTCCAGTCTCCAGTCCACACAGTGATATTCTAGATTATTATCGCAGTTCGGGCCGACTTTAACCCGGCCCCGCACGCGGTCTGGGGAATGCGAATGAACGACTCCTATGCCGCCTCCAGACTAACACTTCCAGACTAACAGTCCAGCGGTTGCCCGGCACTTACCAGAAATCTCTGGCAAGTGTCCAGCTTGTCAAGTGTTAGCTGACACCTTACACATTGTGGCTTTGTGTCCTGCCACTCCACTCACTTTTTCATCCCCTTTCCCCATACCATCTAGCACTCAGGGACACCGGAACTCTCTAGTTTCTTTCGAAATAAAAAGTTTACCACCATCACCCCCACCAACAAAGTGCCTTGTCCCAGACTGAGTGCCCAGACTGAGTCATGTACCAGATGCTGAGGCACGCCGCGAAACTTTTCCAAAGTGAATGATCTCCAGTAACGGTGGTAAAAGTAGTGACTGCAAACTCAACAAGGAGACATGACAATCCACCGAATCCCCAAGAAAGTTTTGCATTGAAACATTTATACTGACTAACGCACACGAGGCTCTTTTCTCCCAGAGTAAAACATTTGTTGGCAAGCAAACTGGGCCCACAGCCATCATACTGACCTTGATGTCCTTCAGCTCATTGTAGACGCCATCCATCTTGCGGCAGCCTTCCTGCAGACTGCTGCCCGTCCTGAACACAGCCGCATGATCCTGCATTGTCTGCGTGGTCGTAAGGAAAAAGGAAGAGCACTGAACACTTTTTTTTTTTTTGCAGCAAACAAGACGACGCACTTTACTGAAAACTTACCAACCAAGATTAAAGAATCATCATCATCATCAGCCTGACTACGTCCACTGCGGGGCAAAGGCCTCACCCATGTTGCGCCAGTTAACCCGGTCCTGTGCTTGCTGCTGCCAATTTATACTCGCAAACTTCTTAATCTCATCTGCCCACCTAACCTTCTGTCTCCCCCTAACCCGCTTGCCTTCTCTGGGAATCCAGTTAGTTACCCTTAATGACCAGCGGTTATCCTGTCTACGCACTACATGCCCGGCCCATGTCCATTTCTTCTTCTTGATTTCAGCTATAATATCCTTAACCCCCGTTTGTTCCACAATCCACTCTGCTCTCTTCTTGTCTCTTAAGGTTACACCTACCAACTTCCTTTCCAGTGCTCGCTGCGTCATCCTCAATTTAAGCTGAACCCTCTTTGTAAGTCTCCAGGTTTCTGCTCCGTAGCTAAGTACCGGCAAGATACAGCTGTTACATACCTTCCTCTTAAGGGATAGTGGCAATCTACCTGTCATAATTTGAGAGCGCTTGCCAAATGTGCTCCACCCCATTCTTATTCTTCTAGTTATTTCAATCTCGTGGTTCAGCTCCGCGGTTACTACCTGCCCTAAGTAGACACAGTCTTTTACAACTTGAAGTGCACTATTACCCATCTCAAAGCGCTGCTCTCTTCCGAGGTTGTTGTACATTGCTTTCGCTTTGTGCAGATTATTTTAAGACACACCTTTCCGCTCTCCTTGTCTAACTCTGTAATCATGAGTTGCAATTTGTCACCCCTGAGTTACTCAGCAATGCGATGTCATCGGCGAGTGCAGGTTATTGATGTACTCTTCATTAACTCTTATCCCTAACTGTACCCATTCTAGGCTTCTGAAAACCTCCTGTAAGCACGCTGTAAATAGCATTGGGGAGATTGTGTCCCCCTGCTTTACACCCTACTTGATTGGTATTCTGTTGCTTTTTTTATGAAGCACTACGGTAGCAGTTGATCCCCTGTAGATTTCTTCCAGGATGTTTATATATGCTTCATCGACGCCCCGATTCTGCAGTGTTTGCATGACTGCTGATATTTATACTGAATCAAATGCCTTCTCGTAATCAATGAAGGCTATGTATTGTGGTTGGCTGTATTCTGAGCATTTCTCTATTACCTGATTGATAGTATGAATGTGGTCTATTGCTGAGTAGCCTGTTCGAAATCCTGCTTGTTCCTTTGGTTAATTGAATTCTAATGTTTTCTTTACTCTGTTAGCCTTTGTTACCTTTGTAAATAGCTAGTATACTACAGAGAGCAAGCTGATTGGCCTGTAAATCTTCAAGTCCTTGTCATCTCTTTCCTTATGTATTAAGATTATGTTACCATTGTTCCAAGACTCTGGTACTCTTCCCGTCAGGAGACACCTCGTAAACAGGGTGGCTAGTTTTTCTAACACAATCTGTCCTCCATCTTTCAGCAGATCTGATATTACCTGATCCTCACCAGCAGGTTTGCCTCTTTGCATGCTCTCCAAAGCATTTCTGACTTCTATCATTACTGGTAGGGTGTCATCTCGGTTACTGCTAGTTCTTATAGTATTAAGGTGGTGGTTGTCCCGGCTAATGTACAGATCTCTGTAAACTCCTCCAATATTTTAACTATCCTATCCATATTGGTAGTTATTTTGGCTTCTTTGACCCTTGTGCATACATCCAATTTTTGCCTATCCCAAGTTTTCTCTTCATTGCTTTGATGCTTCCTCCGTTTTTGAGAGCGTTCTCTCCATGTTATACCTTTTTACATCGCATACCTTACGCCGATTAATCAACTTCGAAAGCTCTGCCAATTCTATTTTGTCTGTTGTACTTGAGACTTTCATCATTTGACGCTTCTTAATGAGATCCTTCAATTCCTGGGAAAGCTTGCCAGTGTCCAGTCTAACTGCACTGCCTCCAACTTCCACTGCACACTCCGTAATGATACTCGTCAGATTATCATTCATTGTATCTACTCTAAGGTTGGTTTCCTCACTAAGAACCGAGTACCTGTTCTGAAAGCGAGACTCTGAATTCCTGTACTTTCCCTCTCAGTGCTAGCTCATTGACTGGCTTCTTGCGTATTCGTTTTTGTCGTTCCTTTTTCAAGTCTAGGCGAATTCGAGACCGCACCATTCTATGTTCACTGCATCGTACCTTGCCAAGCACTTTCACATCCTGCACGATGCCCGGGTGTGCACTGATTATGAGGTCTATTTGGTTCTTATTTTTGCCATTAGGGCTCCTCCATGTCCACGTGTGGTTTCCTTGTTTTTGGTAGAAGGTATTCAAAATAGATTAAAGAAAACATTAACCAAAACAAGGAATTTTCAGCTTTAGAATGTAATACACAGAGGTAAACTGCTTTTACGCTCAAGAACACCCCTATTACCTTGAAAAAAAAAAAAAATACTAAGTTAGCATCGATACTTCCTTTAGTTATCTGCTCGGGTTTTCATGCCAGAACTATGATAAGTATTTTTCTTCATTTGCACCAGTTATACATGTTGGTCAGAAGTGTTAAAATAAGGTACTTTCATTGAAAGAAAACAATGTGAGGAAACATGCTGACCTTTTGCATATTGAGCCTGATCCTGGACACTGGCAGGGAGCCATTAGCATTGCGGAGCTTGTCCAGATTGGCGACAGACTGCTCACCTGCATTCTGGAATAAAATTACAAGAGACACTGTGGAAACCCGTTGATGCTTGCAGAACAGTACACTCGAGAAAGAAGGAGCAATCCTCCCTTAGAAGAAAGTGGGAAGCCGCATATTCATCAGCCAAAAACATGGTCCCCTCGAAGTTAATAACGATCAAAGTAATGTGTTCATAGGTGACAAAGCAATATAGCCTACTTATAGATATGCAAGTGGTGTAGTGAGTGTATACAATAAAACATTGGCATAATGAACTTCAGTGTAATGAAATTTTCAGTATAGTGAAGTACAGTATGGTCTGCTGTCAGGGAGAACACGTGAGTGCGTGGCCGGCGGAGCGCCAACTACTGCTGAGATTTCAAAATGCGGCGCCAGCGCTTCGTGAAGGTGGTAAGTGCCCCATGTCCTCTACTCTGCCTATGCACTCCGTGTGCGCTAGCAAGTCATCACCCTTCGCGCTTTTCGTTTTCGCAGTATAAATCAACTGATCCCGACTGATCTCATTAAGCAGACATTTCATGGTCGCAAAGACAAGCGTATAATGTCCGCTGCATCAGATTTCAGTATCCTTATCTGTTATCAAAAGTGGCTAGTTGCTGCGAGCAGTATGTAAAAAATACGACACTTAATATGACATGCTTGCGAGAAGCAGCAGCAATTAGTAAAACTATTAAATATTTTCTGCTTACTGTAAATCCGACTAACAGCAGGCGGACTGACAGACAGATAGGAAAGCGCTTTTCCAACGATTTCATGTGCGCAGGCGGAGAAGTACTAGACGAAACTGCGCATGCAGCGATATTACGGTTCTATGCTGTCATGAACTTATCTCAGGAGCGCTTGCGTGATTGATTGATGCGTGGGGTTAACATCCCAAAACCACCATGTGATTATGAGAGACCCTGTAGTGGAGGGCTCCGGAAATTTCGACCACATGGAGTATATTAACGTGCGCCAAAATCTGAGCACACAGGTCTACAACGTTTCTGCCTCCATCGGAAATGCAGCCGCCGCAGCCCGAATTCGATCCCGCCGCGATCTGCGGGTCAGCAGCCGAGTACCTTAGCCACTATGCCACCGCGGCGGGACATCGGGAGCGCTTGCGAAGGATGGATTTGAGACAGACGTGAAACGGTGTCGGGTCTCTACGTGGCGAGCGCGCACCACGCAACGCTCTTGGAGTGAACGGACACAGAAGATGCAGTCGGTACAAACCAAATAACATACATATATTTATTTAACTAATTTAGACGACGATATCGTCCGCCGAATGATACATCAATTGTTATTAACACGCTACCATACAAACAACATAACACAGTAACACACCAAACACAATAACATGACAGACACCATAACACGCCAAAGGCGGTGTCGCTAACGCTTGACTTACCACGTGGGCCCCCCGGCGTGCAGAACCGCGGTGCCACGCGCCGAGCCGACCCACCCTAGAAACAACCGTTCACGGCAGCCGCCACGCGCAGAAAAAGGCTCGCTCAACTCTCGCCCGCCACCAAGACCTGCCTTCCCCCAGGGGTCACTTCTGGCGCTACCACTCTACCAACAGTGGTACTCAAAGCGAACACAACGCCATCTATCGCCTGGCGGTCGTCACCCGAAATGCGGCCTTGGGGCGAGACACGTGCACCACACGACGCAAACAACTTTACAGGGGGGTCAGCACCCCCACATTCCTTCAACCTTAAATCAAACCATATCGCTAAAACAAAGAACAGCTACACAAGCTTTAAAAAAAAAAAAAATGACATCGCATGTCCATTATGTCCTTGCACCACGACACTGCCGCTGGTCGACACTGCTGCACTGTCCGGCTCGACTTCACCTCAGTACCAGCCCCACAACAGCAACGTTGCAGTCGGTGCGACGAAACGTCGCTAGCGCCGACACGTTTTTCAGTTGCGACCAACACTCACGAGGGCGCTGGACTGCAGGCAGTTGCGCAGGTCCCAGGAATCTCCATCGCCCGACCTCACGACCGCATTCCTGGCCAGCGACGCTGACGATGTACAGAAGACAGCTGACCGCGGATGAAATCCCCCTCGCTGAATACACCAACAAAAAAAAAAAAAACACTCGAAAGAAACAATGGAGCAGCGCCTAGAGAAGGGAGCTTCGGTCTTTTCGGCCACGTGGTACGATGGTCAGTACTGCTAGCTAATACATCGGCGGCGGCCGAGACGCCCATCGAAATCAAACAAAAATCACTTTTCCTAACTCGTGCATCGCAAGATAAAAAAAAAGTGAGAGAAGCCGAGCGCAACACCTCAACGCCACGATCCACCTGGTTGTGCCACGTGCGACAGGCGGCTGCGCAGAGCCTTAGGCCTAATGAGTCGCTCAACAACAACGGGCATTTACCCAGCACCCAGCCTAGGCGCAGAAGAGGCAGCCGCGAGGAGACATCTACTCTGTGAGGTGGCCCTATCGCTCGCCGCATACAGCAGCTTACTGAGCGATCAGCATCCACTGCCCCGGGCGGTGTCACAACGCCCCGGCGTCGAGCCGCAATACAAGTCAGCAACGACGCCCGGCTCCCTGAGCCCAAAGAGATAGAAGAGGCTATTTACAGAGAATCGGACCACCCACGAGGTTTCCGTATTCACTCGCTTCGGGCCTGGCCTACAAATCACGTGCTCTAGGCCTCGCTCACCCCAGGATGCAGACCGCATGGCTCTCGTCCCAATTCGACAATGGTTTTGAAAACTAACACCAACAAAAAAGAACAACACTTGCGAGCAAAAAAAAATTAATGAAAAGTCAACCTGCCGACAAATTCAAACACATTACAAAACCAATCTCCTCGCTTCTCAACAGAGCACATCGCTGACACTAGCAAGGAAGTCCCCCTAGGCCTACTCTACTCCGGTGCTAACAAATGCTTGCACCGAACCGCAAAAACTGTCGTCCGTTACTCCAAGAGCTTCACATTGGGCAGCCAGTGTCGGGTCTCTACGTGGCGAGCGCGCACCACGCCATGCTCTTGAAGTGAACGGACACAGAAGACGCAGTCGGTACAAACCAAATAACATTTATATATTTATTCAACTAATTTAGACGACGATATCGTCCGCCGAATGATACATCAATTGTATTTAACATGCTACCATACAAACAACATAACACAGTAACACACCAAACACAATAACATGACAGACACCATAACACACCCAAGGCGGCGTCGCCAACGCTTGACTTACCACGTGGGCCCCCCGGCGCGCAGGCCCGCGGTGCCAGGCGCCGAGCCGACCTGCGCTAGAGACAACCGTTCGTGGCAGCCGCCACGCGCAGAAAAAGGCTCGCTCGACTCTCGCCCGCCACCAAGACCCGTCTTCTGCCAGGGGTCACCGCCGGCGCTAGCACTCTACCAACAGCGGTACTCAACGCGTACACAACGCCATCTATTGCCCGGCGGTCGTCATTTGAAATGCGGCCTTGGGGCGAGACACGTGCGCCACACAGCACAAACAACTTTACAGGGTGTGTCAGCACTCCCACAACGGGCGTGGCAAAACAAACACTTTATCGCCCAAAACTGACAAGAACAATACACAGGATTCGCGTTTACTCATGAACTATAATAACACTCAATATCTCAACAACCGATAACTCAATAACCTTCAATGACAATCCACGTATCTGGGCAAACCCAAACTGGCTGTAGCTCAGTTCTAATCCTTTGCTAGCCCTAGCCGCTAGCCCTAAGCCAAAATACGGCATCAACAACAGAATGTTCTTACTGCTTGTCCCGTTGTGACTCGTTGCACCTTGCGGTGTCGTTTCGTCGAGTAAACCGTCGTTGACGGGCTGCTTGACATCTTTTCAGTCGCCGTCTATTGTTCCCGCCATACGCACAGCTTGTCCTCATCGCCGGTTTCTAGGTCCTTGTCTCCATTTTTGGCCTCGATAGGCCCCGCTCGTCAAGAACTCTACCGCTGAGGCGTCCACTCGATTGATTGGTGTGGGCTGCTCCCTTTTTTATGCGATGTGGGGGAAGCTGCAAGTCCGAGCAGCCTCACTCGGGACCATCTCCGAGGTCAACGACCACCTCCCAAGCCCGTTCACGCTGACATTCTCAAAACCGATGGTCATGATGCTCCCGTCGCCGTAAGACCCTGTGCGGCAACGCTTGTTTCCTACTTCTTCGCAGCGCGGCGTCCCAACACACAGTGCCAGCTCGTCCCCTGGAATTTTTTTTTTCGGCTTCGGTCGCGTGCCACAAGCCCATTTCTGACCAATCTCCGGCGTCTACGTGGCTGGTGTGGGTGTCCTCGCGTGACTCTTTTCTCCTCGTGCACCGTTGCCTTGCTTTCACGTTCGGCACGTGCCTTCGTGCCTCTCTATTACTCGTGACAGTGGGCCCCCTTTAAAGAGGTTTTTCTTAAAAACTGCTCTTGTTCTTCCGTCTTGGTTTCGACCTTCTGCTCTTCTGTCGGTGTCATAACTGTTGTGTTTTCAGAGGTTGGTTGGGACGCTAGAAGCGTTAGAGCCAGGCACAAGAGATGTGACCACACTTGCATGCGTGACAAGACCAAGTGCTTTATTAGGAGATGCTTGTCACAGTCCCCCACGCGAGCGGTGCCACCAGACAGCTGTCTCAGATGGCACCACAACACCTCTTTCTTTTAAAAGCTTGTTTAACCTTACAAGTTCTGACAGGCTGGGGGCATTACATGGCGGCCACTAAGCGTTCTCATAACACCATCATCACAAGAATCACTGTCGACCTCGGTTGCAGTGCCCGGTATGTCCACCGATGAATTTGCCGGGAAAGCAACCTGCATTGCACCGGTATGAGTTGCAGAATCCGTCAGGTTCTGTTGTGAGAACTCCGACAGGTGTCGCCGGTTACGCTGCAGGACTGCACCTTGGTCCGTCTTTACGATGTAACTGCGGGATCTTTGGTTCTCGTTTAATGCAGTAGCTCAGACTCCTACAGGTTGCACCCAAACACGCTCTCCCCTCTCCAGTAAAGGCAGCGGCTTAGC